AGACTTGGGTGCTTCATGGAGCCCTGCATGCTTAGAGCTCTTGGTTTGCAGCTGATGCTTGCATATCCTGGCACCAGAAATGTGCAAGAAAGATGTCCAATCATCCGTTCTGTTTCTTGTGTGTCCTGTGGTGGTAAAGGATGCAGGATCTTCAGAGGGTCATGTGTAGTCCTCAGGGATTTAATTTTCATTCTGCCTCTGCCCCCCTCCTCCTCCTTTCTCCCCACTCCCCTGCCTCTCTCCTGCCCTCTTTCTTTCTTTTCTGTTTCCAAAGACTTACATGGCTGAGCATAGATGCAAATGTTAAAAACAAAGATACTTTCCTCCAAGAAGGATGCCTGTACTAGCTAGGGCCAGAGCTTGGCTTCAGATTTCAATTCTCAGCAGAGGGAGAGAAACAGTATGGTTTGTATGTGGTACCACCACACTGCTTGGCCCCCATACCGAGGACCAGATCTGGAGCTGATGGTAGACGGGTGCTTCAGTAAGAATCCAACAAGACAGAGCAACACCAAAGGTGCCTGCCCTGGTCCATTTACTAACAAGTTTTTAAGTGTTCAATCTTGCGACTTGTAGTTTTGTGGCCATCCTGACAAGGCTTGGCAGGCTGATGCCCATCTCTGATGCTTGGTCCAGAGAATTCTACTTCAGGATGTGGAAGACCCAGGGATTAATGACCTTAGATTGGACCAGGTGACCTTTCAACAGGTTGACAAAAAGTAAGATAGCCCCTGAGCTTAGCTAGCACAGTCCCTGTAAAATTAGTTTTACAGAATGCTTCTGAAAAAAAAATTCTGTAAAATTAGTTTTACAGAATGCTTTGCCATCTGTAGTTCATCTAGGGGCCCCCTCATATTTTCTAATAAACTTTCTGAAAAACATTAAGAAGCATTTTATAAGTAAGCAGTCCCAGGTTATATCTCTCATGTAAAGATCAATACCTGGGTACCTCTGGAGATAGGATACAAACCTTAAAACAAGCATCACCTCATGATTTCCTACATGGTCCTTACTCCTGAAGCATGAGACAAGAGATGCAGAGGGCAGCCTATATTCCTGGGCCAGACCTGTGACTCTGTGCAATGTGGGCAGATAGCCATGCTTTACCTACTCACAGTGTTACTTCTGTCTGTTAAATCCTACCAAGATTGTGCAGAAGGCAAAAGTCACAGAAGCCTGTTCCCTCTGTGCAGACTAAGAAGAGCAGGAGGGGAGAGCTTTGCATCAGATCCAAGAAGTTACTAACTCTTACTTTGTCTTGAGGAAGACACTGCAGACTTTAGAAGTGGAGCTGGCTCAGTGTGCATGAGAGGAGATTCCCTCAATCAGCTTGAGGGGACCCACATCTGGGAGGGGATCAGGTCAGGCCCAGGTCATGGAAGAGAGCAAATGGGCAATGGCTTGTGCCCTATTCCCTCAGCAGTCCCAGGGAGTAAGGAGGTGGCATAAGGGACCCCTGGATACTTTAAAGAATTAATTGTCTTGTGGGGAGGTAGACTAGAAAATTGTAGACTGAGCTTTCAGAGTTCAGAAAAGGACTATGGATACATCCCTCACACCAGCTGTTCCAGCAGCTGACTGCTCTCTCCTCTGATCGCCTGCTGGCTTCAGAGAGTGGGTTGAGTCTGCTACTCAGTAGCCAATTAGCCCTCCAGGACTCAGTTTCCTCATCTGTGTCTTGGGCATAACAGTAGTACTAGGTCTTGAGCTGTTAGTATCAAAAGACCTAAGGAGTGTGAGTGTCTCAGGACAGTGAGGGACACAGGGTGAGAGGTACTCAGGTGCTTACTTCCCATGCAGACATGCTGTGGGTGCCTGTGTGTCTCCCTGCATTAGCCTGGCCTTTCTGGTGCTATGTCACTGTGCTGTTTATCCTGCAGCATACGGCGGCATGTTGAATGATTGTACAAATGAGCCAACAAATTAACGGAAGCTGATGGCTGAGGGCGTGGTGGTGTGGCTGTGGGAGCTCTGCTCCAATGAGCTGGCATGCTCCTTCACTGTCTACGTGTAGAGCACACAGAGTAATGGCATGGGTCATTTTGAGGGGACAGTCAACATTGCTGCTGCTGGCTTGCTTCTGTATGAGGTCACCACACTGCCCATTTGCTGCTTTGTGGTTGTGGCTGTTCTTGAGGCAGTCTTGCTCTGTAGCATAAGCCAGCCTCAAATCAGAGAGTCCCCTGTGCCTCAGCCAAGTTCTGGGGTTACAGGCGTCACACGCTCTGCCCATTTTGTAGCGGGAGAAAATAGGTTTAGAGGAGGTAAATCCCAACATCTGCCAGGTCACACAGCTGAGATGCACTGAGGACCATATGCTCTCTTCTCCTACCATCCTGTGTCTTTCAGTATTGGCTTGATCTTTCACACCATGCTCATGGCCTCTTGTTAGACAGTGAGAGAGCAGAAGCCACTGGCACCTGCTAAGTGACAAAGAAAAATTCTTGTCCTAATACAGAGAGCACAATCTGTCTTTTCTTTTCTTTCCCCAACTTCCCTACCTTCTCCAGTCCTTCTCCCAAGAGGATCCATATGATCTGTGGAGTTGGTGATTTCTGGGGTGATTCTTGCTGTATTAACTGTCCTCTGAGGGAGGCACTGGCTCTTTTAGGTGAGTGAGAGCCACCTGTCTGAGCAGATACCAGCACATCGGCTGCTTCCCTAGTGTCCTTCATCTCTTACTTGGGAAAATAGTTTGTGCTTAGGGAACTACTCTCTATGAGGCTGTGGGCAGCCCTCTGTTCTTGCAATGTGTCTGGATCTGTATTTTAACCAACTCCCTGGGCTGCAAGATCAAGAGTTCAGTACTTCTCTGTAATTCATGGGCCACCCCCCTACAATACCTCCTGCAATTGCTAAAAATGACACCCTACTTAAAAGGCCCCTTTCACATGACAGAAGCTCACTGATAGAGAACATTTAGCGTGTCCTTCTGGTGCTGGTCTGGGGAGTGACACATGAGGGGCAGCCCACTGTAGATAGCAATGACAAGCAAGCTCTGTGAGAAATCCCAGCTGCCCTGTTGGTCCTGGATTCCCTTGGTTCATCCACTGTCCTGGCTACAGACCTGTGTTCAGTGCCCTTTCCAGACCTTCATGAAAAACCTTGCAGGGAGGCTAGGACAGAAAGCCAAGCCATTGGAGTCTTTGATTCTGGACAGAATCCAGATCTCACCAAGTCAAACTCCTTATTTCACAATGTTTGGATGGCAAAGTGTGTGATCAGGGACACTTGGTTCTGTGTCGAAGCTCTTTCCTACAGATGAGGATCAAGATGGAACTATTTTTGGCTAACCATGAATGCTGAGGGGCCTGGTGAACTCAGTGCTGGATGTTCCCAAAGAACCTGGGTGCCCTGAGGAGAGTGCTGGCTGCTCAAGAGAGCACACCCTAGCACCCCAGGGAGAGAGTGGTGGTGGTAAGCTGTCAAGTCTTTTCCTGATCTTGTCTCTAATCAGCTTTCTGGTCAGCAGCTTGGCTCTGTGTCCTCCTCAGATTACAAAAGATTATCTTAATTCAGTCCCAAGAATCTCTCTCAAGGGAGTAGTTTAATCATCTAGAATATTTATACTTCATTCACAAATTAAACCCACCCTCCCACACACATGCTCAGAGAGAGTACCAAAATTCTGTCATTTGCAGTCAAAAGAGATGAATCTTTGATTCGTCATAGCTACACGTGGTGAGCAGAAGGGTGTGTTGACAAGGGAGCTGTGCAAGAAGCTGATCCCCAAAGATGGGGCAGGCTAGGAAGCCATGGAAGGCACAGAGAGGACAGTTCTGATTCTTACCAAGGTAAACCCAGACCCCAGAAGCCATAGAGTTCCCAGGCAGGAGAAAAGTTTAGATGGGACTAGGAAGGTACCTGCATTAGACAGCACCTGTAGGGGTGCACGCTGATGATCCAGAAAGTCCAGTTGCCCTTCTGGCCTCCTGGGCTGTGGGCTAATGTGTCTAAGGTATAGCTTAGGCAGTAGCTAGGAAACGACAGGAAAGAGCTGTAACGTGCAGAGCAGCCTTCTGCATCCAGGAGTCTCAGAATCATGTGCTTTTGTGTCTCCCAACACATTCCTACTGTTTTTCAAGAAATATCAGCAACTGAAATGATGTCACAATGTCATCTTCACCTTTAATGGAAGTGTTGGTTTCTTTCCAGTTTTATATTCATAGCCAAAAACAACCATAGCAAATTATAAGTTCGGGCACCTTCACCAAGGGACACTACATTAGTCTCAGTTCTGAGAAGCTCACCCCTAACCCCATACCCTGAGCAGGTGGAGATGTGGAAGAAGTTGGTATCCAATGCTTTGGAAGCAAAAGAACAATGCCTCGGACTTGTGAGGACTGTGTCCACACTGTGCAACATCAACACCTGTGTCCACAAACCACACGTGGACGGTGTGGTGAGCACACGGCCCTCACACAGAAGGGAGATGAGCTCGGTAGAAGCACAAGCACCCCCAGCATGGCTGTTTGCAAAGCAAGCACCTGAGATATCCTCAGCCTGTGTCCCTCACTATCCTGAGAGTGTCACACTCCTTAGATCTGTCAGTGGTCTGTGTCCTTCTTCCAAAGACAAGTCTACAGTTTTCCTTTCTTCCCATAATCAGACTCAAGTTGAATCCAAGGATTTGGTTTCCTTTAGCTTCATGCCCTGTCTGGTCTGTACCCTGTGACTCCGTCACTCACCGTGTCCATGTGTGCTGACAAGGATGCAGGATGCTTTTCTGGTGCATATATTGCCATATGTTGGGGTAAAGGTCTTCCACACTTAGCTGCAGAGCCTACGAAATGGGGACTGCCCTGTTCTGTCAGCGTCACTACTTTGGCTAGAGTTCCCCCCCCGTGGTGCCAGGTAACTTGTGTAATTTAACGAGTACATGAGAATGCATTTGAACTTATTAAAACAGAAGGGCCAGTTTCTTTTCCTTAATTGACAAAAGAAAAAAAAAAACACTTGGTAGAGCATTGTAATTCCGTTCTTTATTTTTTCTCTCTCAGGTTCAATAAATGAAAAGTTGCCCCAGCGGGAAGGTGCTGGAAAAGCAGGTAACTATCTTGAAATGAATTTACGTGATGGTAGATAACCTTGAGATGACTCTCAAGTTAAAGCTGAAATACAGTGGAAGGGGTTGCCCAGTTCTTCCATTGACATGGATCCAGTCCTGCCTTCTGCTAGTCACCTGTGGGGTCAGGCAGTATGCTCAGGGGTGTTGACTTCAGCTTGTGTGGGGACCTCTGAAAGGGGCTCAGAACCACTGTGGATATGCTGTGTTCAACTGTAGGTATGCTGGATAGCACTGTAGTGTATGAAGAGAACTGTAAGATAGCAGCTAACGCTGTGGGCGTGGCAGGTTCAGCTGTAGGTAGGAATGCCTTGCTCAGCTATGGTTTGTCAGGTAACACCACAGGTATATGAGGACAACTTGGGAGGTGTCAGGTACCACCGTGGGTGTAGCAGGTTCAAAAACTACCGTGAATCTATGAGTACTGCTGTGGTTGGGCTGTTATTGACCTACATTCAACTGTACGTACATCAGGCAATCCTATGGGTATCTCAGGGTCTCTTTGGGAGTGCTGACTTCTATTATAGGTGCATTGAGTGACTCGGACAGCATCAAGAGAGGCACTTGGCCAGAGAGTAGAGGTTCACTATTTTGGCATCTTATACATTCTGAGCCATAGAAATGGCCAAGGACACCATGATATCTGTAAGGAGGCAAAAGCTTTCTCTGTAGCAATGCTCTTCTGAGCAAAGGACAGACACTCTCTTCTTTCTTTGGGGGCCACTTCATGACTAAGTTCACCTTCTCCTGAGCTGTAACCTGCCCACTGAGATGTCTTGGGAAGATCTGTCATTTTGTCCCTTGACCTTCCTCAGTTTCCCCTGAAGTCTCTATAACACAATTCTGCTTTTAGTCTTTGGAGTCAGGAGATATTTTCAAGATGAAATTTTTTTTAACATAACCATGGACATTTCTTTCTTCTGTGAGTTATAGTATAGTAAGTCTGACAAAGGGCAGTGGTATGAAGACGAGTTGAGCCGAGTTTACTCAGCCCCCTTCCTGAGGCACAAATTAAAAGTCTCTTGGCCAGGAACTGGACTTCCTGCCCTGGAAGAAAGACCTTTGTACTGTTAAGATACAAGCATAGAATAAGTTCAGAGGGTCCTAGGACAGATTCAGAGAGGCCCCCAGGGTAGATAAAGAGAACTAAAGCATCCACAGAGGTTTGAGATATGTTCAGAGGAGTCTGAAACAGGCACATCCTTTGATCATTCAGTCTAGAGAATTTATACCTGAGGGTTTACAGGAGGATGGTTTTGTGGTATAGAATGCACTTGATGAGGGTAGGGGACCACAAGGCAGAGAATTCTGCTTCCCATGAGCATCTCCTTATCTCAGGATGCTCACAGGGCCCACTGGAGGACACCCCTGGAGAAGTGGGGTGTGGGTAAAAAATGAATTCAATGAACAAGCAGGCCTCTGGAACAAATTCCACTGCTCTCTGGACAGGCACCCAGCAGAAAAGTGTTAATGAAGCAACAATCCAGGTTTAGAGAAAAAAGGGAGACATGGCAGAAACGTGGAGGGAAGTACAGCGTCCCTGCTCTATGGGCTGTGTCTCTTTGTTAGAGCTTCCAGTGCGGCCATAATGCTGTGAGAGACAGTGTTCTGAGGGCCTGTGGGGCTGAGGGCAACCCGCACAGGGGCCTGAGATGAATGGACAAAGCCTGGGCACTGGTCCACTTTGGGGCTGGACATCACCAACTATGCCCACCTCACTCTTAGCAGCCAGGCTCCATTCAGCCAGCAGGGGCCTTGTGATTTTGGGAATATCTCACCAGGGTAATTTGATCCTCAGCATAATACACCAGCAAGAATTCCCCCAACCTCCCCTCCCCAGGCTCCTCCCAAGAGACATACATGCCACTTAATGGCTTCTTCTATGACCTTTCAAGATTCATAGTATATTACATTTGGTTTAAATATATTGTTACTTTCATTTTATTTTTTTTAGAAAATAAAATGATTCAGAAGCAAATTTTCCCTATGTCAAACATTAGGCTTGTGTAGTCCGTGTAAGTCACATTGAGTTTTTGATGTTTAGGCACCAGACTTTTTTTTTTCAAGAGATTATTAAAGACTTAAATGTTTTAAAAATAGGTCTCCTTTGCTCCCCTATAACCCTTGAGTGGGGTTTCTAGACAGCTGGAGGATAGAGTGGAGTCACAGCTAGCTTGGCTCCATGGCCATTCCTTGTCTTATATGCTGATTCTGAAATGACTATATCAAAATGTCTGGGGCAGGCTAGAATAAAAGCAGCCGAGAGAAAGAGTTGGAGAGAGATCAGTGTCTCAGCCACTGTTATGTCAGGTGCTCTCACCCCAAGCTTCACAGGAATCCACAGGGAGGTGCTCAGTAAATTCAGTGATGATGACCCTCCAGGCAATGGGGCCATTCCTCTCAGAGTCCACCCTGCCTTCCCACCAATCTCTTCATTTGCTTGACCCTTCCCACACTGCAGACCCCCAACCCCATTCATAGTACTCCCAAGGTCCCCTCTGTGCCTCCACTACTAAGTATCCGGAAGCACATGAGGGACGGCATGCTGGTGCAGATTGTGGCTCTCGGTGTCATCTGCATACGAACACATGGAGGAATAGTGTTTCAATTCCCACAATGAAACCCTGTGGATCTCCATTCTCTCCCCCACCTCATGGCCTGTAGTAGACAGGTCTTTTAGCCTCTTGCCCTCAGTTTTCCACTTGTCTTTACCTTCCCTTTAATAGCCACTGCCCTGATGATTTAGGTCTCCCGTGTCGGCCTTGGCTTTCAGGTCCCCACAGCATTTGAGAGTAACAGTCCCTTAGGTAGCAGCCCAATGTTGCTTCCTGGGCCCCCGGGGTACTGGGTTTTGTTCTGTGCTGGGCTGTGTTGGGAGGTTCTGTGGGTGGTATGCAGGTCCTGGGCTCCAACCTGGATGCACACTTATTTAGCTTACTCTCATAATTGTAGTCTCCTTGCAAATCTTTTCCGTTCTGAATTCAGATGATGCTGCAGCCCCAGCATTGGAGACTCAACCCCAAGGAGATGAAGAAGGTGAGCTGATGATGGGGAACTGGGAGGGGAGCAGGGATGGCCAATCAGGGGCTGAGAAGGGATACCAAGCCATTTACAACCTAGACATACAAAGAAGGCTACCATACTGCCTGCTGTCGCTTAGTTGTGAATCTAGAAAGACATTCTACACAGAGAAAGATAGCTACCCAGGAAGGACAAGACACAGTTTGGACAAGTGATGCTGCAGCATGCTTCTATAGGATGTGCAGGGGTAGAGATGGAGAGCAGAAAGAAGACCATGATAGCACATGATATGCCAGTTTCTTCCTGGAGATGTCTCCAGCACACATGCATACAGTGCAGACAGTAAGAAGCAGGCCCTGTGCTTGACTGTGCTTGACTGTAGTGTACTGTAGGTGTGAAGAAATCAGGTGGATGTCTTAATAAAGATGCAGAACAGTCCAGTGGGCTGGCCACGAGGGGCCATTTCCAATGTCACGAGGCTCTTACTTCTCCTGGTGTTTTTCCACATTGTCACAGGGTTCTTCTGAGCAGAATATCTTAATATTTTTATTAATGAAAATCTATTCATTCAAAAAGATATGATAACATGTACCATTTCCCTACTCATGTCTGGTCTTTATGACACCACCACAAGGATAAATCTCTATGTTTACCTTTAATAGATTGTTTATAGCATTGGTCATGGTCTCAAGTCAAATGGGATCAGGCTTTGGGGAAACTGTGTATGAAATGCGCATTATAACACACACATATGCATGTGCACACACACAAACACACACACATACACACGCGCACACACACGCCCCTAACACATGACAAGAGTGCAGAACCCTACAAGCTTTCCAAATAACAGCAGTGGCTAGTGTGCATTGGGGCTGCTCTGGGCTCTGCCATGTTAACTTTCCATCCTGGAGAACCCCAGTTCACGCATAAGATTGCGGTGCTGCCTTTCCTACATGGAAGGAGATTCGAACCCAGGTGATGTGCAGAGTCTGTGTTTTAAGGGCCATGTACAGTCAGTCTCATTTGGTAATCAATATGAAGGAGTACTTTCCTCAACTGTGTGATGTGAATGATATTTTAAATGTTTTATTTGATGTGGAATCATTCAACCATGTGAGAGCCTCTTGTTAAATGAATGACTATTTTTACTTCATGGGATGTGTTTGTACATTCGGCTGCTTTCCACATCCCCCTGTTTATCCCCACACATGGTGGTGCTGAGGGAGAAACCTAGGGCTTCCTGTATATTAGGCAAGTCACCATTCCACCGAGCTACAACCCCAGCTCATTGAAGGGTTTTACAACACCTAGAACCTGCTTTTATCCAAACAGATTTTAGTTACCAGTTCAGATTAAGAAAAAAATTATTTAAAATTTTATATTATTGGTTCCTTGGTCACATACATTTAACCATTTTTAACTGTGTCTTTTTGAAAGGTGCAGTGAACTTTTATTTATTATACTGGGTGGGGAATCAGAGCCCTTGCTGAATTCCTTAGCTGATGGACTTCTTGCTTGCTGATGGACTGTTCACCTTATTGTTTTCCTAGATATTGCCTCACGCTACCCTACACTCTGGACCGAGCAAGTTAAGAGTCGGCAGAACAAGACCAATAAAAATTCAGGTAAATTGGGACCTGGTGTCAGTCTGTAAGGGAGTATTTAATTCAAGAATTTTACCTTCTGCAGGTTTTTAAAGCTTTTTTTTTTTATTAGATTCTCTATATTCTCAAAAAGAACTGTGTGCAGCCACGCAGTAGGCTGTGCAGGCCAAGCGGGGCTGGTTGTTGGTGAGAGCTCTCTTTGAGGCAGTTTCTGAGCTGTCTGAACACTTGGCTGTTTTAGGTTAAGGCCTCCAAATGTATGGATTGTACCTGCTACAGGACAGCACTGACAGAAATGACAAGCAACTGCTTTGACATTTTGTAGACAAGCCATGCAGCTTGTCAGTGACTACTGTTTCGGGAGTTTATGGAGCTCAGTGGGCGGGTGTCCTGCTTGCTTCCTCTGGCCTTTTGTAAAATCTGAAGCTGTCCTCTGGGTTGGTGGGTAGGCAGCCAAGGAAGGTCAGAGTGACCACAGGAATTTCCTGGGATTGACCTCGTGCACAGAGATGAGAGGCAGCTACTCCCAAGGGCATCCTGGCACAGAGTGCTTCTATCTGGGGTGGGCTGTATGTATCTTTTAAAGTGCATTTTACATATGATACAGTAGAACTTTAAGAAGTGTCACAGCTCAGAAGAGAAGAATCTATGTGTCTCCATATCCAGCACAAAGAGGACTGACTGTCAGGAAGACTGTGCCTGGTATTGTTCAATCTCAAATCCCCAGGAATGCCCTGTTTGGAAATGCTTATTGTATGGTACCGCACAGTGTGAGACAGGAGCTCCATGGTGTGACAGAAAGCTTACCTGGAATGGCTAGTGGGCTGCTGAAGAGTAAGTGAGCGCTGTTCTATGTTGGTCTCTGACCATTTCCTTCTGGCCCTGGCTCTGCATGGCTGAGCCTCACCTTGTCCCCAATGGAGATTTCCTCCTTAGCTGCTCTAAGAAAGCTAGAACCCAAAGGTTTTGATACTTGTTGTAAGTATGCAAAGTTGGGAAACTTAAAGTGATTTTTTTTTCTTTGCAATGATTACTAGAGGCAACTTCCCCGTTGTTTTAGTTTTATTTCTGTTTCTGTGACAGAACACCCTGACGAAAAGCAGCTAGGGCAGGAAAGGGTTTATTCAGCCTACCATTCCAGGTCACAGCCCACCATTGATGGACGTTAAGGTAGCTACTCACCCATGATGTGAAGGCTCACTATTCCACACAGCAGGACCTCAGATCAAGGAACTCATTTCATAGCCAAAGAAGTGTGGCAGAGCCATGATGGTGCTGTTTAATGCTTGCAGACAGGCCTGTGATCTGTGTGCTTTTTACAGAGTTCAGGATCATCTGCCTCCCATAGTTGACTTGGCCCTCCTTTCCTCCTTTAGCTAACAATTAATAAATTATATATGTGTGGTGTGTGTGTGTGTGTGTGTATTGTATACATATAGTATATATGTGTATATGTATATTTAAAATATATGTGTATATATATTAAATGAGTATACATGCCCTGTTTTTTTATTATTAAAAATATTATATGAGAATATATTCTCATATATACTACATAATCTAGGCCATTCCTCCGCTGAGACTTTGCTCTCAAGTGACCCTAGGCTGTATCAGCTGACAGTTAAGGCTAAACAGAGGACCCACTGTATAAAAAGTCACCTGTATGCCTCCTTCATAACCTCACTCATAACCTCAAGAACCAGGTTTTATTCAATTCTGTTGCCATACTTACAAAAGTTATCTGATTTGATCCTGTATCAAAGCAATCGTGTATGAGAAAATAAATCATTGCTTGTTTGCAAGCAATGGGTCTTGAGAACTTCTCGTGAGAGAAGCAATGCAATTGTGGCAGACTTTGATCTGAGAAACACACAGATAAGTATGAAAACAGTCACTGGAAATGTATAGCTTAAAGGTACATTTAATTGTGCCATGGAAGGGTTTCAATTTAGACAGGTAACTTGTAGAGCAATGATACCATTTTTCAGTCACTGTTGCCAGTGTTAGGCCATTTATAGCTCACCTTCAACAACCGAGCCAGCATTCAGTGTACAGAGGATTGAAAAAAATGCCTGAGGAAAGTCCAGCTTACATAAGTTATTATAGTTTGTTTTAAATTTCTATATGTGAGTGGAATTCAAAACATAAACATTAAGTTGGTTTGTAGAAACAGACCATGAAACTATTAGGCTTTGTTTAACTGTTATAGTCTAGTTTCTGAGGGTCAAAAGGTAGCTCCCACATGGTATTGTAGGACATTAAAAGAGGTATGAGCTGCAAAGCTGTAAATACTCTTAGGGACCTATGGCTTGACTATTGTTTGTAAACTTGGCCATCAGAAGACTTTTGTTTGTATTTAATTTCTATTTTAAAAGCTACCTTTACTTATAATCATCTTTAGTAGATACAAAGATGTTTATTTAACAAAATATTTAAGAGATGGAGTATTGATTGGAAGTAGTGTACTTTCCTACTTGGATTTTATCCTGGGTTGACAAACAGCAGCTATGAGAGCTATAATTTATGAGTTATTGCTCTGCATTTTAAGTGTTGACAGTGTACTATGAATCTTGTATGCACCTTTACAGTAAATGACAAACTAGAAACAAACTGTTTTTATTTGCAAACAATATGCATAAATTAGCATTTCTCCCAAGACTTGATATTCAAATAATATTGTATGATTTTTACTATAAAATCTGTAGGGTATCATGGTAAATATCATGAGACAAGTTAAGTGCAAACCTTAAATAGGCTCTAGGGTATTCAGGAACAGCAAGAGCCGTTACTGCAAATAAAATACAAGACTCTCTTGTCTATGAAAATTACACGTAGTAGCTACATAAGGAATATTTATTTTGTAGTTTAGCAGAGTCTTGCCAGCCTATGTTTGGTGGGCCCTCACGGTATCATTGTCATGATGTTGTTAAGCAAGCAAAAACAAATAAATAAATCATGAGAGAGTGAGAGAGTGAGAGAGAGAGAGAGAGAGAGAGAGAGAGAGAGAGAGAGAGGGAGAGAGTGTTTCAGTGCCTTTATATTTTGATTCCTAGATTTTATTATCTTGGTTGGCTCACCTAGTAAGAGAACCAATCAATGTACATTAAATTAATGAGTAAATTATAAATTTGCTTTTTACTTAAGAATGCATTATTCAAATTTTTCTGTCAATGCAAAAAAAAGGTGTTCACTTCTTTCTGGTCTTGAATCATCTCACTATACTAAGTTTTATTTTTCTATTCATGGATATACATTGATTGATTACAAAGTCAATCATGGCTTTGGATAGAAGGTTCTGTAAGAGTCTTTTAATTATTGTTTATTAACCCATGTGCTCATTAAACATATATGACTCTAGTCTGTGTCCTTTACTAATGTATATCGTGCTTTTCAAACCTTTACCTGACCCTTTAAAAACTAAGTCTAGAATACTAAAAAGGATGCCCAGTTTTTCTCTCTTGAATTGTTTGTTAGCACCGTTACAAAGTAAATGTTATTCATGAATCGTGAATATTCATTTGTATAGAGTTTGTTGTGTTTTGAATGAGAATGGCTCTCACAGGCTCATATGTTTAAATGTTTTTCCCAAGTTGGTGGAACTGTTTGGAAAGGGTTAGGGGGTGTGGCCTTGTTGGAAAAGATATGTCATTGGGAGTAGGCTTTGATGGTTCAAGAGCCTACACTATTCCAGTTGCCTCTTTCCAAGCTTATTGGATGTTGTCTCAACATGTAAGTTCTCAGCAACTGCTCTAGCGCCATGCTTGCCTGCCTGCTGCCAAGCTACCCACCATGATAGTGATCGACTCTACTTACCCTCTGAAACTGTAAGTGATTCCCTATTTAAATACTTTCTTCTGCAAGTTGCCTTAGTCATAGTTTCTCTTCACAGCAATAGAAAGTAATGAAGACAGGGTTTTATGACCCACTCTAAATAAGAAGCATGTTCCAGAGTACAAGTCTAAGGCTTGTCAGTTTAATACACAGATAGAACCTGTCTGTGTGGGAATAAAGATCAGAACAGGAGGGTCTTTCTGCACTTCTAAAGCCATGTGTAGTCGAGCCAGATGATATGCCTTGGGAAAAAAAAGAACCATAGAGATGAGATGTTAGGCCAGTTGTCTGTCTCTGGGAGGAGAGATCTTTCCGTGGATGAGTGACTTGAAGACTCTCCAGCAAGATTTTATTTAGACCATATTCACATGCTATACTTCCCCTCTACAGAGCAAGCATCATCCTTTACCAAACAAACAAGAAAAAGCAAACAACAATCAGCAAGGGCCAAGCTGCTGTGTACTCATTGTTTTCAGAGGTCACAATCTTTCCCAAATGACCAAGAACTGGATTCTTACTCTAACAAGGCTCAAAACTTCTCTCAACATCCACAGATGAATCAATAGCTTGGGGCTTTTTGCTATGGGTCATATATGGAGTAGGGACTAGGGTCTTTTAATTTAACTTAATTTAATGCAGAAATGTCTGTGTAAACTCTTTTGTGGAAGGACAAGACCAGAAGGAGGGCTAGGAGGGGATGGGAAACTACCTGCAGCCTGCCTTTGGCCAGCAGAGTCCTGATGATCAGAATCAAGTTGAAGTGTGGCCCAAACTCACTGTTCTACCCTCTCCCCTTCCTATGTCTGAGTGGTAGCTGGGAGATGTCGCAAGGATACTCTTCCAGGTGAGAAGTCCTCAGTGACTCCCTGGGAGCCTCTGAAGGGCTTCTCGGTTCAGCAGGCACAGGCTCTCCAAGCACACTTGCTCTCTGGCTTATTGCAAGGCCTTTTCCAGAGAATTCCGTGGACAGGTGCAGTACAACCTGCCAGTTTCTAGCACGGAATAGATACCACGTAATGTTCACTTAGCACTGATCCGCTGTGTCCTGTCCTTCTGATCTCTCATACTGAACAGTTCCTTCCTTGGCCTGTTTTAGTCAGTGTGGGTCAGAGCTGCCACCACATCCTGCCAGGACAGTAGGTAAATGAGTGATTACTACTTTAAGACAGAAAAGGTCATGCAGGTAACCA